CCAAAAAAACCCATTTGAAAACAACCCCAAAAACCCCCCAAAAAAATCTCCAAAAAACATCCAAAACCTCCCCACCCCCAAAAAACCACCAAAACCACCCCAAAAACAGCCAAACCCCCATAAACCCCCCCAAAAAACCCCAACCCCCCCCCCAGCCCCCCTAAAATCCCCCCTCACCCCAAATTCCCCCACCCTAAAAGGGAATCCGGAGGTGACCCCCAAATTTGGGGGGTGGGGCAATAGCAGAGACCCCAAAATCCCAAATTTGGGGGGTGGGGCAAGAGCAGAGACCCCAAAATCCCAAATTTGGGGGGTGGGGTAAGAGCAGAGACCCCAAAATCCCAAAATTGGGGGGGTGGGGCAAGAGCAGAGACCCCAAAATCCCAAAATTGGGGGGGTGGGGCAAGAGCAGAGACCCCAAAATCCCAAATTTGGGGGGTGGGGTAAGAGCAGAGACCCCAAAATCCCAAATTTGGGGGGTGGGGTAAGAACAGAGACCCCAAAATCCCAAATTTGGGGGGTGGGGTAAGAACAGAGACCCCAAAATCCCAAATTTGGGGGGGTTTGGGGTTGATTTGTTCTTGGGGGTGGGTCCCCAAACCCCCCCCCGTACCCCAATAAGTGTCCCCCCAAATTTGGGGTCCGGAGGGGGCGACCGTCCCCAAATTCCCCCCAAATTTTGGGGGATTTTCCGCCGCTTTGGAGCTTCCCTGCCCTGATGACGTCAGAGCCGCCCCTCGGTGACGTCACCGCGAGGTGGGTGTGGTTTGGGGGGTCCCGGGGGGGGTTTTTGGGGGGGGGGGGGGAAATTTTCCAGGAATTTTGGGGAACTTTTGGGTTTCCCCTCTCTAAGGTGACCCAAATAATTTTTGGGGGGTGGTCCCGGGTATTTGGGGGGGGTGGGTCTCAAACATTTGGGGGTTTCCCTCCCCCTCCCCAAATTCAGATCCCAAAATCCCATGGGGGGGTTTGGGGGGGGTCCCTTGGTCCCCTAAACCGGGGGTCTCACCCCAAAATGGGGACCCCAAATTCCCTGGGGGGACCTTTGGGGGTCTTTGCCCCCTAAATTGGGGGTCTCACCCCCCAAGCGACCCCCAAAACCCCCTCCCCCCTTGGAGGTCCCTTCCCCCCCCCAAATTGGGGTCTCACCCCTAAATTGGGAACCCCAAACCCCCCTCGGGGGTCTCACCCCCAAATCGGGAACCCCAAACCCCCCTCGGGGGTCAATCCCCCCTAAATCGGGGGTCTCACCCCCAAACCCCCCCAAATGGGGGGTCTCACCCCAAATCGGGGGTCTCACCCCCAAACCCCCCCAAATTTGGGGTCTCACCCCCAAATCGCGTCCCAAAGCCCCCCAAATCAGGGGTCTCACCCCAAACCCCCCCAAATCGGGGGTCTCACCCCAAATCGGGGGTCTCACCCCCAAATCGTGACCCAAACCCCCCCAGATTTGGGGTCTCACCCCAAATTGCATCCCAAACCCCCCCAAATCGGGGGTCTCACCCCCAAAGCCCCCCAAATCGGGGGTCTCACCCCAAATCGGGGGTCTCACCCCCAAATCGCCCCCAAATTTGGGGTCTCACCCCCAAATCGTGACCCAACCCCCCCCCAAAATGGGGGTCTTACCCCAAATTTGGGGTCTCACCCCAAACCGCCCCCCCCATGTTTCCCTTTCCCCCCACCCAGGGCGTGGCCGGTGGGCGTGTCCAGGCGGATGGGCGTGGCCCATTGGAGGGCGTGGTTCGTGGGCGTGTCCGGTGGGCGTGGCCCGCGGAGGGGGCGTGGCCTGCGGGCGGATTATGTCAGCCCCGCGGCAGCCGCAGCCCCGCGCCGGGAGCGGCGGGAGCGGCGGGAGCAGGTACGGCCCGGGGGGCTCCGCCGCGATTTGGGGGGGGTCCCGGGGGTCCCGGGGGGTCCCCGGCACCGAGGGGCGCCCCGAGGGCTCCGCGGCTCCCGGGCCGGGGGGCGCCGAGCGCCGGGAGCGGCTCCGGGAGGGTCCCGGGGGGCTGCGCTGAGGGGGTGGGGATGGGGGAAAGGTGGGGCTGGGGGAGATTTGGGGGGGCTGGGGGCGAAATGGGGCTGGGGGCGTCCTTGGGGGGTTTCTAGAGGGGTTTAGGGGCAGCTATAGGGTCTCTATAGGGCTGGGGGGGTTTAGGGGGGCTGGGGGCGTTATTGGGGGGTGGGAGGGGGTGGAGGTGGGGCTGGGGGATGGGGGGTGGAAATGGGGCTGGGGGGGTTTGGGGTTCGGGGAGGGGTCTGTGGGGCCGGGGAGGGTAAAGGGGATCTATAGGGGATCTATAGGGTCTGTGTGGGGCGGGGATTGGCATCGAGGAGGGGTCGGGGGGCTTCTGGGGGCGGGGCTGGGAGGTGTTTATGTGGGGCACAGGTGGGGCTGGGGGGTCTCTATAGGGTCCGATCGAGGTGGGGGGGGTCTGTGGGGTCTCTGTGGGGCTGGGCAGAGGCACAGGTGGGTCTATAGCGTGGGACAGGGGCACAGGTGGATCTATGGGGTGGGATGGGGCACAGGTGGGTCTATGGGGTGGGACGGGGGCACAGGGGGGGTCTATAGGGGCTCTATAGGGTCCGGCGGACAGGTACAGGTGGTTCTATAGGGCAGGTGCATCTCTGGGGGCTCTATAGGGCAGGATGGGGTGTGCACACAGGTGGTTCTATAGGGTCAGACCTGGGGCACAGGTGGTTCTATGGGGGTTCTATAGGGTGGGATGGGGGGCACAGGTGGTTCTATGGGGCCAGAAGATTCTATAGGGGCTTTATAGGGTCGGTCTGACAGGTACAGGTGGTTCTATGGGGGCTCTATAGGGTGGGATGGGGGCACAGGTGGTTCTGTGGGGTCAGATAATTCTATAGGGTGGGATGGGGGCACAGGTGGTTCTGTGGGGTCAGATGATTCTATAGGGTGGGTTGGGGGCACAGGGGGTTCCATAGGGGCTCTATAGGGTGGGATGGGGGCACAGGTGGTTCTGTGGGGGTTCTATAGGGTGGGATGGGGGGCACAGGGGGTTCCATAGGGGCTCTGTAGGGTCAGGCCGAGGCAAAGGAGGAATTTGGGGCTGCCTCGGGGGGTCTGGGGGGCTCCAAACAGCCCCATAGGGGCCCTATAGGGGAGGGAGGAGCAGAGGGGCCGGGCCTGGGGGGTTTGGGGGGTACTGAGGGGGTTTTGGGGGATCCTGGAGGGGTTTAAGGGATCCTGGGGGTGTTTTGGGGGCTCCTGGATGGATTTGGGGGATCCTGGAGGGGTTTAAGGGATCCTGGGGGGGTTTTGGGGGCTCCTGGATGGATTTGGGGCATCCTGGGGGGGTTTGGGGGCAGAAACCGAGTGGGGAGAGGGAGTCGGGATGTTTTGGGGCCGTTTGGGGCGTTTTTGGGGAGGGGTCTCGGGACAGTTTCGGGGCCGTTTTGGGGAGGGGCTCAGGATGGTTTTGGGGCCGTTTTGGGGCGGGTTTGGGGCCGTTTTGGGGCGGATTTGGGGCCGTTTTGGGGAGGGGGCTCAGGATGGTTTTGGGGCCGTTTTGGGGCGGGTTTGGGGCCGTTTTGGGGAGGGGTCTCGGGACAGTTTTGGGGCCGTTTTGGGGCGGTTTTGGGGCCGTTTTGGGGAGGGGTCTCGGGACAGTTTTGGGGCGGTTTCGGGGCCGTTTTGGGGAGGGGGCTCAGGATGGTTTTGGGACCATTTTGGGGAGGGGGCCGGGGGTGATTTAGGGGCGGTTTCGGGGCCGTTTTGGGGTCTCTGTAGGGCCCAGCAGCCCGTGGGGGGAGGGGGCTCCGGGGGGGCTCTGCAGGGACAGATTTTTGGGGGGGGTCCCCACCAGCCCGGGGGGGGTCTCGGGGGTCTCCGTGTCCAACAGATGGGTGGGGCCGGGGGGGGATGGGGGGAGGGGCGGCCCCCGGGGCCGGGGGGGGGTCCCGGTGGGGTGGGGGAGGGGCAATCCCCGTTCTCCCCCCCCCCTCCCCCCCTCATTTCCCTACAGGTGCCCGCCCCTCCCCCCCCGCATCACCTGGGCGGATTTTGGGGTTTTTTTTGGGGGGGGTCCGCACGTTTAGGGTGGGGGAGGGGCGGGGGGGTCACCCAGAGCCGCCCTCCCCCCCCCTCAGGAATTTGGGGTCCACAAGGGGCTCCTTGTTCCATGGGGCCGCCCCCGCTTCCGGCCGGGTGGGGCCGGGGGGGCCCCAATTCCCCCCCGGGGGGGCCCCAAATCCTTCCGGGGCTGATGGGGGGAGGGGAGGGACGGGGGGGGGGGGGTCCCAAATCCTTCCGGGATTTTGGGGCGGGGGTCGGGGGGGGTCCCCGGGATCGGCGGCTCCTCCCGGGAAGGGCGGGGCCGGCACCGCCTGGGGGGGGTGGGAGGTTTTGGGGGGTTTTGGGGGGTCCCCGCAGCTCCGAACCCCCCCGGGGGGTTTTGGGGGGGGGTCCCCGCAGCTCCGGACCCCCCCGGGGGGGTTTGGGGGTGAGGGGGGGTCGGGGGTCGCGCAGGGAGGGGGTTGGGGGAAGCCCCGCTGCACCGGGGGGGGTTTGGGGGGGGTCTCCAGACCTCTGTGCCCCCCCCGGGTGGTTCTGGGGGTCCCAAACCCTCGTGGGGGGGTCCCAGATTTTGGTGGGGGGGGGGTTTTTTGGGGTTTTTTGGGGGGATTTTGGGGTTTTTTTTGGGGATTTCGGGCCCGTCCCTGTCCGTGGTGCTGAATTGGGGGGGGGGCGGCGCTCGGCGGCTGTGGGGGGGTGGGGGAGGGGCAGCCCGGGGTATTGTGGGGGGGGTCGCGGGTGGGGGGGGGGTCGCAGCCAAGGTGACAGGTCCCCTCATCCGCCGTTGCCATGGAAACGGGCGCATCCCGTTTCCCACCAGCGGGGGGGGGAGGGGACGGCGGGGCCGCCACACAATGGAGAGGGGGGAGGGGGGGTTTTTAGGGGTGGGGGGGCCATGAGGGTTCCGAGGGGGTGGAGACCCCTCCCCAAATGTGCCCCCACGCCCCTCCCCCCCCCCAGGGCCATGGCGCTGCCCCGCGGGTTCGGCCTCGTCCCGCTGCTGCTGCTGCTGCTGGGGGGGGGGGCGCGGCCGCGCCATCGTCATCCCCCCCGAGTGTGAGTGGGGGGCGCGATTTGGGGAGGGGGCGAGCCGCGAGGGGAGGGGGGGGCGCGGGGAGGGGTTACACACGACCCCACCCCCCCCCGGTATCCGTGCATGGAGCCCCCTCCCCTAAAAACGGCATGGACACGCCCCCCCGCAAAAAACGGCATGGAGACCCCTCCCCAAAAAAAGGCATGGAGACCCCTCCCCTAAAAACGGCATGGAGACCCCCCCTCAAAAAACGGCATGGAGCCCCCTCCCCTAAAAACGGCATGGAGCCCCCCCCCCGCAAAAAACGGCATGGAGACCCCCCCAAAAAAAGGCATGGAGACCCCCCCCTCAATTTAACCCCTTAACCCCTGATCCTTGCTCCCCCCCTTCCAATGGAGACCTCCACTCAATTTAGCCTCCCCAGCATGGAGACCCCTCCCCAAATTCCCCTTCCCCTTATCCAGACTCCTTTTTACCCCCCCGTTTTTTTAAGAATCCCCCCCCACACTTTGCACGACCCCTCCCCCCTTGCACGACCCCCCCCGAGCCCCCCGAGCCCCCTCCCCACTCACGCCGTGTCTCTCCCCCCGTGCCCCCCCGGACGGTGCAGATTCGCTGCACGAACGTGAGTTTGGGGGGCCGGGGGGATTTGGGGGGGTCCCGGGAGGATTTGGGGTGGTTTTGGGGGGTTTTGGGGTCCCAGTGTGTTTTGGGGTGTTCTGGGGGGTTTTGGGGAGGTCCTGGTGGGTTTCAGGGTGTTTTGGGGTGTTCTGGGTTGTTTCAGGTTGTTTTGGGGTGTTTCAGGGTGGTTTTGGGGTGTTTTTGGGGTGTTTTGGGGTGTCCCGGTGGGTTTGGGGGTGTTTCAGGGTGTTTTGGGGTGGTTTTGGGGTGTTTTGGGGTGTCCCGGTGGGTTTTGGTCTGTTTCGGGCTGTTCTGGGGTGGTTTTGGGCTGTTTTGGGGTGTTTTTGGGCTGTTTCGGGGTGTTTTGGGCTGTTTTGGGGTGTTTTGGAGTGTCCCGGTGGGTGTTGGGCTGTTCTGGGGTGTTTTGGGGGTGTTTTGGGGTGTTGGGCTGTTTTGGGGGTGTTTTTGGGCTGTTTTGGGCTGTTTTGGGCTGTTTTGGGCTGTTTCGGGCTGTTTTGGGCTGTTTCGGTGTGGTTTGGGGCTGTTTCGGGGTGGTTTTGGGCTGTTTCGGGCTGTTTTGGGCTGTTTTGGGGTGTTTTTGGGGTGTTTTGGGGCGGTTCTGGGCTGTTTTGGGCTGTTTCAGGGTGGTTTTGGGCTGTTTCAGGGTGTTTTGGGCTGTTTTGGGGGTGTTTTTGGACTGTTTTGGGCTGTTTTGGGCTGTTTTGGGCTGTTTTGGGCTGTTTTGGGCTGTTTTGGGCTGTTTGGGGCTGTTTGGGGCTGTTTGGGGCTGTTTGGGGCTATTTGGGGCTGTTTGGGGCTGTTTTGGGCTGTTTTGGGCTGTTTCAGGCTGTTTTTGGCTGTTTCGGGCTGGTTTTGGGGCTGTTTTGGGGCTGTTTTGGGGCTGTTTTGGGGCTGTTTTGGGGCTGTTTTGGGCTGTTTCGGGCTGTTTTGGGCTGTTTTGGGCTGGTTTTGGGCTGTTTCGGGGTGTCCCGGTGGGTTTTGGGGTGTCCCGGTGGGTTTGGGGCGCGGGGCCGGTCCCAGCCGTGCCCCCCAGTCCAGCAGCCGCCGGAGCTGACGGAGCAGCCGCCGGAGCAGCTCGTGGTGTTCCCCAGCGACGACGTCGTGCTCAAGTGCGCGGCCAGCGGCAACCCCCCGCCGGAGTGAGTGCCACCGTGTCACCCCTGTCACCTCCCCTGTGTCACCGTGTCACCTGTGTCACCTCCCCTGTGTCACCTCCCCAGTGCCACCTGTGTCACCTCTGTGCCACCGTGTCACCCGTGTCACCTGTGTCACCTCCCCTGTGTCACCGTGCCACCCGTGTCACCTCCCCAGGGCCACCCCGTCACCTCTGTGCCACCGTGTCACCTGTGTCACCTCCCCTGTGTCACCTGTGTCACCTCCCGAGTGTCACCTGTGTCACCTCCCCAGTGCCATCCCTGTCACCTCCCCTTGTGTCACCTCCCCAGTGCCACCCTGTCACCTCCCGAATGTCACCTGTGTCACCTCCCCAGTGCCAGCCCTGTCACCTCCCCTGTGTCACCTGTGTCACCTCTGTGCCACCCTGTCACCTGTGTCACCCCTGTCACCTCCCCTCTGTCACCTCCCCAGTGCCACCCTGTCACCTGTGTCACCCCTGTCACCTCTCCAATGCCACCCCTGTCACCTCCCCCGTGTCCCCCCGTCCCTCTGTCCCTGTCCCTCTGTCCCTGTCCCTCTGTCCCTGTCCCCCCGTGTCCCACTGTGTCCCCCCCTGTCCCTGTCCCTCTGTCCCTGTCCCCCTGTCCCCTGTCCCTGTCCCGCTGTCCCCCTGTCCCCCGTGTCCCCCCATGTCCCCCCCCCCATGTCCCCCGTGTCCCTCTGTCCCTCTGTCCCTGTCCCGCTGTCCCTGTCCCCGTGTCCCCCCGTGTCCCCCCATGTCCCCCCATGTCTCCCTGTGTCCCCCCCCTGTCCCTCTGTCCCTGTCCCCCTGTGTCCCTCTGTCCCACTGTCCCTCCAGCTTGTCACTGTCCCTCTGTCCCTGTCCCTGTCCCCCCCGTCCCTGTCCCCCCCGTGTCCCCCCCTGTCCCCCCTGTCCCTCTGTCCCTGTCCCCCCTGTCCCTCTGTCCCTGTCCCTCTGTCCCTGTCCCTGTCCCCCGTGTCCCCCGTGTCCCTCTGTCCCTGTCCCCAGCCGTGTCCCGTCTCTGTCCCCGCAGGTACCGCTGGACCCGTGAGGGTCTCCCGTTCCCGTTCCCGTCCCCGTCCCCGTTCCCATCGCCGTCCCCGGGCCCGGCGCCCCCGGAGCTCGCGGGGGTCTCGGTGTCCCCCGGGGGGGGGACATTGGTCATCAACGCCACCCTGGCCGGGCGGCTGCAGGGCCGGTTCCGCTGCGCCGCCAGCAACGCGCTGGGCACCGCGCTGTCCTGGGAGAGCCGCGTCATCGCCGAGAGTGAGCCAAAAAACCCCAAATTCACCCCAAAATAACCCCACATAACCCCACATAACCCCAGGCACCGCGCTGTCCTGGGAGAGCCGCGTCATCGCCGAGAGTGAGCCCCAAAAAACCCCAAAATCCCCTAAATCCACCCCAAAATAACCCCAGGCACCGCGCTGTCCTGGGAGAGCCGCGTCATCGCCGAGAGTGAGCCCCAAAATCCCCTGAATTCACCCCAAAATAACCCCACATAACCCCCGGCACCGCGCTGTCCTCCGAGAGCCGCGTCATCGCCGAGAGTGAGCCCAAAATCCCCTGAATTCACCCCAAATCCACCCCAAAATAACCCCACATAACCCCCGGCACCGCGCTGTCCTCCGAGAGCCGCGTCATCGCCGAGAGTGAGCCCCAAAAAACCCCAAATTCACCCCAAAATAACCCCACATAACCCCACATAACCCCAGGCACCGCGCTGTCCTGGGAGAGCCGCGTCATCGCCGAGAGTGAGCCCCAAAATCCCCTAAATCCACCCCAAAATAACCCTAAATAACCCCACATAACCCCAGGCACCGCGCTGTCCTGGGAGAGCCGCGTCATCGCCGAGAGTGAGCCCCAAAAAACCCCAAAATCCCCTAAATCCACCCCAAAATAACCCCCGGCACCGCGCTGTCCTGGGAGAGCCGCGTCATCGCTGAGAGTGAGCCCAAAATCCCCCAAATTCACCCCAAAATAACCCCAAATAACCCCACATAACCCCCGGCACCGCGCTGTCCTGGGAGAGCCGCGTCATCGCCGAGAGTGAGCCCCAAAAAACCCCCAAACTCCCCTAAATCCACCCCAAAATAACCCCACATAACCCCAGGCACCGCGCTGTCCTGGGAGAGCCGCGTCATCGCCGAGAGTGAGCCCCAAAATATCCCAAAATATCCCAAATCCACCCCAAAATAACCCCACATAACCCCACATAACCCCAGGCACCGCGCTGTCCTCCGAGAGCCGCGTCATCGCCGAGAGTGAGCCCCAAAAAACCCCCAAAATATCCCAAATCCACCCCAAAATAACCCCACATAACCCCAGGCACCGCGCTGTCCTGGGAGAGCCGCGTCATCGCCGAGAGTGAGCCCCAAAAACCCCCAAAATAACCCCAAAATAACCCCACATAACCCCAGGCACCGCGCTGTCCTGGGAGAGCCACGTCATCGCCGAGAGTGAGCCCAAAATCCCCCAAATTCACCCCAAAATAACCCCAAATAACCCCAGGCACCGCGCTGTCCTCCGAGAGCCGCGTCATCGCCGAGAGTGAGCCCCAAAAAACCCCAAAATCCCCTAAATCCACCCCAAAATAACCCCACATAACCCCAGGCACCGCGCTGTCGTGGGAGAGCCGCGTCATCGCCGAGAGTGAGCCCAAAATCCCCCGAATTCACCCCAAAATAACCCCACATAACCCCAGGCACCGCGCTGTCCTGGGAGAGCCGCGTCATCGCTGAGAGTGAGCCCCAAAATCCCCTGAATTCACCCCAAAATAACCCCACATAACCCCACATAACCCCACATAACCCCACATAACCCCAGGCACCGCGCTGTCCTGGGAGAGCCGCGTCATCGCCGAGAGTGAGCCCCAAAATATCCCAAATTCACCCCAAAATAACCCCACATAACCCCAGGCACCGCGCTGTCCTGGGAGAGCCGCGTCATCGCCGAGAGTGAGCCCCAAAATCCCCTGAATTCACCCCAAATCCACCCCAAAATAACCCCACATAACCCCCGGCACCGCGCTGTCCTGGGAGAGCCGCGTCATCGCCGAGAGTGAGCCCCAAAAACCCCAAAAATCCCCTAAATAACCCCAAAATCCTCCCAACCCCCTCGGGGCCAGCTGGTTTTGGGGTCCCTGTTGGTTTTTGGGGTCCCTGTCGGGTTTTGGGGTGCCTGTTTCTGGATGCTCTGTCCATTTTTGAAGTTCCCGTTTTTGGGGTCCCTGGCTGTATTTGGGGGTCCCTGTGGGTTTCTGGGGTGCCTGTCTAATTTTGGAGTTCCTGTTTCTGGGGTCCCCGTGGGTTTTTGTGGTGCCTGTCTGTGTTTGGGGTGCCTGTCTAATTTTGGGGTTCCTGTTTCTGGGGTCCCTGTGGGTTTTTGGGCTGCCTTTTGTTGTGTTTGGGTTCCTGTTTTTGGGGTCCCTGTGGGTTTTTGGTGTCCCTGTGGGTTTTTGGGGTCCCCGTGGGTTTTCGTGGTTCCTGTTTTTGGGGTCCCTGTGGGTTTTTGGGCTGCCTTTTGTTGTGTTTGGGGTTCCTGTTTTTGGGGTCCCCGTGGGTTTTCGTGGTTCCTGTTTTTGGGGTCCCTGTGGGTTTTTGGGTCCCTGTGGGTTTCGGGGTGCCTGTCTGTGTTTGGCGTTCCTGTTTTTGGGGTCCCTGTGGGTTTCGGGGTGTCTGTCTGTGTTTGGGGCTCTTGTTTTTGGGGTCCCAGTGGGTTTTTGGGGTTTTGGTGCTCCTGTTTTTGGGGTCCCTGTGGGTTTTTGGTGTCCCTGTGGGTTTTTGGGGTCCCTGTGGGTTTTTGGGGTTTTTGGGGCTCCTGTTTTTGGGGTCCCTGTGGGTTTTTGGGGGTTTTGGTGCTCCTGTTTTTGGGGTCCCTGTGGGTTTTTGGTGTCCCTGTGGGTTTTTGGTGTCCCTGTGGGTTTTTGGGGTCCCTGTGGGTTTTTGGGGATTTTGGGGCTCCTGTTTTTGGGGTCCCTGTGGGTTTTTGGGGCTCATTTTGGGGTCCCTGTGGGTTTTTGGGGTTTTTGGGGCTCCTGTCTGGTTCTGGGGTCCCGGGTGGGGTTTCGGGGTGCCCGTGAGTTTCGGGGTGCCCCAGCCGCTGTCCCCCCAGACACGCCGCAGTGGCCCAAGGAGAAGGTGACCCCGGTGCAGGTGGAGGAGGGGGACCCCGTGGTGCTGCCCTGCGACCCCCCGAAAAGCGCCGTGCCCCCCAAGATCTACTGGCTCAACAGCCGTGAGTGAGCGGGGCTGGGGCGGGGGCACCCCGATCCTGCTGTACCCCAAAATCCCCCCTGAGCCCCAAAATCCTCCCCTGTACCCCAAAATCCTCCCTGAGCCCCAAATCATCCCCTGAATCCCCCAAAATCCTCCCTGAGCCCCAAATCCTCCCTGAGCCCCAAATCCTCCCTGAGCCCCAAATCCTCCCCTGAATCCCCCAAAATCCTCCCCTGAATCCCCCAAAATCCTCCCCTGAATCCCCCAAAATCCTCACCTGAATCCCCAAAATCCTCCCTGAGCCCCAAAATCCTCCCTGAGCCCCAAAATCCCCCCCTGAATCCCCAAAATCCTCCCTGAGCCCCAAATCCTCCCCTGAGCCCCAAAATCCTCCCTGAGCCCCAAATCCTACTCGCACCCCAAAATCCTCCCTGACCCCAAAATCCTCCCTGAGCCCCAAATCCTCCACTGCACCCCCAAAATCCTCCCTGAGCCCAAAATCCTCCCTGAGCCCCAAAATCCTCCCTGAGCCCCAAATCCTCCCTGAGCCCCAAATCCTCCCTGAGCCCCAAATCCTCTCCTGAATCCCCCAAAATCCTCCCCTGAGCCCCAAATCCTCCCTGAGCCCCAAATCCTCCCCTGAATCCCCCCAAATCCTCCCCTGAATCCCCAAAATCCTCCCTGAGCCCCAAAATCCTCCCTGAGCCCCAAATCCTTCCTGAGCTCAAAAATCCTCTCTGACCCCAAAATCTACCCTGGATCCCCATAAATCCTCCCCAGACCCCAAAAATCCTCCCTGGACCCCAAATCCCCTCGGACCCCTCTGCACCCCCACACCTCGGTCTGGTTTTGGGGATCCCCTGACCCGGGGCCGGTTTGGGGGCAGGTTTGGAGTCAGGTTTAGGGTCAGGTTTGGGGTCAGTTTTAGGGTCAGGTTTTGGGTCAGTTTTGGAGTCAGTTTTGGGGTCACTTTTGGGGTTTTTCCTGCCCAGGGATTGTGCACATTGTGCAGGACACCCAGGGCAAGTTTGGGGCAGGTTTGGGTCAGTTTTGGGGTCAGCACAGGGCAGTTTTAGGGTCAGGTTTGGGGTTAGTTTTGGGGTTTTTTCCCCAGGGATCGTGCACATCGCGCAGGACGCCCTGGGCAGTTTTAGGTCAGGTTTGGGGTCACTTTTGGGGTCACTTTTGGGGTTTTTCCTGCCCAGGGATCGTGCACATTGCTCAGGACGCCCGGGTCAGCACGGGGCAGGTTTGGGTCAGGTTTGGGGTCAGGTTTAGGGTCACTTTTGGGGTTTTTCCCGCCCAGGGATCGTGCACATCGCTCAGGACACCCGGGTCAGCACGGGGCAGGTTTGGGGTCAGGTTTTAGGGATGCCCTGACCCCGGGGCAGGTTTGGGGTCACGTTTGGGGTCAGTTTTGGGGTTTTCCTGCTCAGGGATCGTGCACATCGTGCAGGACACCCAGGGCAGGTTTGGGGTCAGGTTTGGGGTCAGTTTTAGGGTCACTTTTGGGGTTTTTCCCCCCCAGGCATTGTGCACATCGCTCAGGACGCCCGGGTCAGCACGGGGCAGGTTTGGGGTCAGTTTTAGGGTCACTTTTGGGGTTTTTCCCCAGGGATCGTGCAGATCGCGCAGGACGCCCGGGTCAGCACAGGGCAGGTTTAGGGTCAGGTTTTAGGGTCAGGTTTAGGGTCAGTTTTGGGGTCACTTTTGGGGTCACTTTTGGGGTTTTTCCCCCCCAGGCATCGTGCACATCGCTCAGGACGCCCGGGTCAGCACGGGGCAGGTTTGGGGTCACTTTTGGGGTCACTTTTGGGGTTTTTTCCCCCAGGCATCGTGCACATTGCTCAGGACGCCCGGGTCAGCACAGGGCAGGTTTGGGGTCAGGTTTAGGGTCAGTTTTAGGGTCAGGTTTGGGGTCAGGTTTGGGGTCAGTTTTGGGGTCAGTTTTGGGGTCACTTTTGGGGTTTTTTCCCCAGGCATCGTGCACATCGCGCAGGACGCCCGGGTCAGCACGGGGCAGGTTTGGGGTCAGTTTTGGGGTCACTTTTGGGGTTTTTCCCCCCCAGGGATCGTGCACATCGCGCAGGACGCCCGGGTCAGCATGGGCCAGGACGGGTTCCTGTACTTCGCCAACGCCCAGGTCGGGGACAGCCACCCCGACTACATCTGCCACGCGCATTACCTGGGGCCCCGCACCATCATCCAGAAAGAGCCGCTGGACCTGCGCGTCACCCCCAGTGAGCGCCCCAAAACCCACAGCGCTTCTGGGGGGCCCCGAACCCCAAATCCGCCTTCAGGGACCCCAGATCCGCCTTTAGGGACCCCAAATCCGCCTTTAGGGGATCCCAGATCCTCTTTCAGCAGATCCCAAAACCCCACAGCGCTTCTGGGGGGCCCAGAACACCAAATCCGCCTTTAGGGACCCCAAATCCGCCTTTAGGGACCACAAATCCTCCTGTAGGGACCCCAAATCCTCCTGTAGGGACCCCAAATCCTCCTGTAGGGACCCCAGATCCGCCTTTAGGGACCCCAGATCCGCCTTCAGGGGATCCCAAAACCCCAAATCTGCCTTTAGAGAACCCCAAATCCTCATTTAGGGACCCCAAATCCTCTTTCAGCAGATCCCAAAACCCCAAATCTGCCTTCAGTGGATCCCAAAACCCCAAATCTGCCTTTAGAGAACCCCAAATCCGCCTTTAGGGACCCCAAATCCGCCTTCAGGGGATCCCAAAACCCCAAATCTGCCTTTAGAGAACCCCAAATCCGCCTTCAGGGACCCCAAATCCTCTTTCAGGGGATCCTAAAACCCCAAATCCGCCTTTAGGGACCCCAGATCCTCTTTCAGGGGAGCCCAGAACCCCAAATCCGCCTTCAGGGGATCCCAAAACCCCAAATCCGCCTTTAGAGAACCCCAAATCCTCCTTTAGGGACCCCAGATCCGCCTTCAGGGGGTCCCAAAACCCCAAATCCGCCTTTAGAGAACCCCAAATCCGCCTTCAGGGACCCCAGATCCGTCTTCAGGGGACCCCAAATCCTCCTTTAGGGACCCCAAATCCTCCTTTAGGGACCCCAAATCCGCCTTTAGGGACCCCAAATCCTCTTTCAGCAGATCCCAAAACCCGAAATCCACATTTAGAAAACCCCAAATCTGCCTTCAGGGGACCCCAGAACCCCAAATCCTCCTTTAGAGACCCCAAATCCTCCTTTAGGGACCCCAAATCCTCTTTCAGGGGATCCCAAAACCCCAAATCTGCCTTCAGGGGACCCCAGAACCCCAAATCCGCATTTAGAGGACCTCAAAACCCCAAAATCCCCTTTAGGGGATCCCTGAGCTCCCAAGTTCTCTTTTAGGACCCCAAAATTTGGGGGTCCTGGGAGGGATTTGGGGGGGTTCCCCATGAATTTGGGGGGTTCTGGGGGGGATCCCCAGGATTGGGGGGCTCCGGGGGGGATCCCCATGAATAGGGGGGCTGTGGGGGGATCCCCATGATTTGGGGGGTTCTGGGGGGGGGATTTGGGGGGGGATCCCCAGGATCTGGGGGGTTCTGGGGGGATCCCCATGAATTGGGGGGTTTTGGGGGGATCCCCAGGATTTGGGGGCTCCAGGGGGGATCCCCTGTATTTGGGGGGTCTCTAACCCCTCCCCCCAGGTAACTCGGTGCAGTCCCGCCGGCCCCGCCTGGTGGTCCCCAGGGACCCCCAACCCACGGTGGTGGCGCTGCGGGGGGAGACGCTGGTGCTGGAGTGCATCGCCGAGGGGCTGTGAGTGGGGGTCCCGGGGGTCCGGGGGGGGCTGGGGGGTCCTGGGGGGTCTGGGGGGGGTATTGGGGGTCCTGGGTGGGTCTGGGGGGGTCCTGGGGGGTCCTGGGTGGGTCTGGGGGGTCCTGGGTAGGTCTGGGGGGTCCTGGGAGGGTCTGGGGGGGGTATTGGGGGGTCCTGGGGGGGTCCGGGGGGGGTCTGGGGGGTCCTGGGTGGGTCTGGGGGGTCCCGGGGGGGATCTCAGGGGATCCAGAGGGCTCTGGGGGGGTCCAGGGGGTCCTTGGGGGGCCTGGGGGGGTCCAGGAGGGGCTGGGGGGATGTTGGGTGGGGGGTCCCAGGGGTGTCCTGGTTCTATCCCGGTTTAATCCCAGTTCTATCCTGGTTCTATCCCGGTTTAATCCCAGTTCTATCCCAGTTCTATCCTGGTTTAATCCCAGTTCTATCCTGGTTCTATCCCGGTTAAATCCCAGTTCTATCCCAGTTCTATCCCGGTTAAATCCCAGTTCTATCCCAGTTCTATCCCGGTTTAATCCCAGTTCTATCCTGGTTCTATCCCAGTTCTATCCCCCAGCCCCACACCCTGAGTGTCGTGGCGCTGCTGAACTGGCCCGGGGGTTATCCCGGTTCTGTCCCAGTTTAGCCCCAGTTTAACCCCAGTTTAACCCCAGTTTAACCCAGTTTAACCCCAGTTTAACCCCCGTTTAACCCCTTCTCGCCCAGCCCCACGCCCTGGGTGTTGTGGCGCGGCTGAACTGGCCTGGGGGTTATCCCGGGGTTATCCTGGTTCTGTCCCAGTTTAACCCCAGTTTAACCCAGTCTAACCCAGTTTAACCCCTTGTCCCCCAGCCCCACGCCCTGGGTGTCCTGGCGCCGCCTGAACGCGCCGCTGCCGCCGGGCCGGGCGGTTTTGGACAATTTCAACAAAACTCTGCGGCTGCGCGAGGTCAGCGAGGCCGACGACGGCGACTACGAGTGCGCGGCGAGCAACGGGCACGGCACGGCCCGGCGCGGGCACCGGGTCACCGTGCAGGGTAACTGGGCAAACTGGGATAAACTGGGATAAACTGGGATAAACTGGGCACGGCCCGGCGCGGGCACCGCGTCACCGTGCAGGGTAACTGGGCAAACTGGGATAAACTGGGATAAACTGGGAGCTCTGGGCACGGCCCGGCGCGGGCACCGGGTCACCGTGCAGGGTAACTGGGGATAAACTGGGATAAACTGGGATAAACTGGGAGCTCTGGGCACGGCCCGGCGCGGGCACCGGGTCACCGTGCAGGGTAACTGGGCAAACTGGGATAAACTGGGATAAACTGGGACAGACTGGGAGCTCTGGGCACGGCACGGCGCGGGCACCGGGTCACCGTGCAGGGTAACTGGGACAAACTGGGACAAACTGGGACAGACTGGGATAAACTGGGACAGACTGGGAGCTCTGGGCACGGCGCGGCGCGGGCACCGGGTCACCGTGCAGGGTAACGGGGCAAACTGGGATAAACTGGGATAAACTGGGATAAACTGGGATAAACTGGGAGCTCTGGGCACGGCGCGGCGCGGGCACCGGGTCACCGTGCAGGGTAACTGGGCAAACTGGGACAAACTGGGATAAACTGGGACAGACTGGGAGCTCTGGGCACGGCACGGCGCGGGCACCGGGTCACCATGCAGGGTAACTGGGCAAACTGGGATAAACTGGGATAAACTGGGTTAAACTGGGACAAACTGGGATAAACTGGGATAAACTGGGCACGGCACGGCGCAGGCACCGGGTCACCGTGCAGGGTAACCGGGATAAACTGGGACAAACTGGGATAAACTGGGATAAACTGGGACAAACTGGGACAGACTGGGAGCTCTGGGCACGGCACGGCGCGGGCACCGGGTCACCGTGCAGGGTAACTGGGATAAACTGGGGTAAACTGGGATAAACTGGGATAAACTGGGAGCTCTGGGCACGGCACGGCGCGGGCACCGGGTCACCGTGCAGGGTAACGGGGCAAACTGGGACAAACTGGGACAGACTGGGATAAACTGGGACAGACTGGGAGCTCTGGGCACGGCACGGCGCGGGCACCGGGTCACCGTGCAGGGTAACTGGGATAAACTGGGACAAACTGGGATAAACTGGGATAAACTGGGATAAACTGGGATAAACTGGGATAAACTGGGAGCTCTGGGCACGGCACGGCGCGGGCACCGGGTCACCGTGCAGGGTAACTGGGCAAACTGGGACAAACTGGGATAAACTGGGACAGACTGGGACAGACTGGGACAGACTGGGATAAACTGGGACAGACTGGGATAAACTGGGATGTAGTGGGATGGGTACTGGGGGGGCACTGGGCAGTACTGGGATGTACTGGGCCATACTGGGCCATACTGGGATGTACTGGGATGTACTGGGATGTACTGGGATGTACCGGGGCAGCACTGGGCAGCACTGGGATGGGTACTGGGATGTACTGGGCCATACTGGGATGGGCACTGGGCCATACTGGGAGGCACTGGGCCATACTGGGCCATACTGGGATGTACTGGGCTGTACCGGGGCAGCACTGGGATGGGCACTGGGCTGTACTGGGATGGGCACTGGGCCATACTGGGATGAGTGTCCTGTCCCCAGTGGCGCCCTACTGGCTGCGCCGGCCGCAGAGCGGGACTGGGATGTACTGGGATGTACTGGGCAGCACTGGGATGGACACTGGGCTGTACTGGGCCATACTGGGAGGCACTGGGATATACTGGGATATACTGGGATGTACTGGGCCATACTGGGATGAGTGTCCCTGTCCCCAGTGGCGCCCTACTGGCTGCGCCGGCCGCAGAGCGGGACTGGGATGCACTGGGATGTACTGGGATGTACTGGGATGTACTGGGATGTACCGGGGCAGCACTGGGATGGGCACTGGGCCATACTGGGATGTACTGGGCCATACTGGGATGTACTGGGAGGGTCCCAGTCTGCCTCTCTCCCCAGCGGCGCCCTACTGGCTGCGCCGGCCGCAGAGCGGGACTGGGACGTACTGGGATGTACCGGGGCAGCACTGGGATGGACACTGGGCTGTACTGGGCCATACTGGGAGGCACTGGGAGGCACTGGGCCATACTGGGATGTACTGGGCCATACTGGGATGAGTGTCCCTCCCCAGCGGCGCCCTACTGGCTGCGCCGGCCGCAGAGCGGCACTGGGATGTACTGGGATGTACTGGGATGTACCGGGGCAGCACTGGGATGGGCACTGGGCCATACTGGGATGTACTGGGATGTACTGGGATGTACTGGGATGTACTGGGAGGGTCCCAGTCCAGCTCTGTCCCCCCCCAGCGGCGCCCTACTGGCTGCGCCGGCCGCAGAGCGGGACTGGGATGTACTGGGATGTACTGGGATGTACTGGGATGTACCGGGGCAGCACTGGGATGGGCACTGGGCTGTACTGGGCCATACTGGGATGTACTGGGAGGGTCCCAGTCCCCCTCCCTCTCTCCCCAGCGGCGCCCTACTGGCTGCGCCGGCCGCAGAGCGGCGTGTTCGGCCCCGGTGAGACGGCGCGTTTGGACTGCCAGGTGGGCGGCAAACCCCGACCCCACCTCAGCTGGAGCATCAACGGCGTCCCCATCGAGGGTAGGGGGCTGGGGGGGCTCGGGGGGGATTTGGGGGGCTCTGGGGAGGGGGTGGGGGAAGCGGTTTGGGGCGTTTTGGTGTCCCTGGATGGGATTTCGGGGTCCCTGGATGGGATTTCGGGGTCTCTGGACGTGTTTTGGTGTCCCTCAATGGGGTTTTGGTGTCTCTGGGTTGGTTTCGGTGTCCCTAGATGGATTTCAGTGTCCCCAGGGATGATTTTGGTGTCCCTGGCTGGATTTCGGTGTCCCCAGGGATGGTTTCGGTGTCCCTGGATGGGTTTCGGTGTCCCCAGGGATGATTTTGGTGTCCCTGGATGGGATTTTGGTGTCCCTGGATGGGATTTTGGTGTCCCTGGACGGGATTTTGGTGTCCCTGGATGGGATTTCGGTGTCCCTGGGTTGGTTTTTGTGTCCCTGGGGATGGTTTTTGTGTCCCCGGGGATGGTTTTTGTGTCCCCGAGGATGATTTCGGTGTCCCCAGGGATGGTTTTTGTGTCCCTGGCTGGGTTTTGGTGTCCCTGGGTTGGTTTTTGTGTCCCTGGATGGGTTCCCGTGTCCCCAGGGATGATTTCAGTGTCCCTGGGTTGGTTCTGGTGTCCCTGGCTGGGATTTTTGTGTCCCTGGGTGGGTTCCCGTGTCCCCAGGGACGCTCTCGGTGTCCCCAGGGATGATTTTGTTGTCCCTGGGTGGGATTTTTGTGTCCCCAGGGATGATTTTGGTGTCCCCAGGGATGGTTTTTATGTCCCCGGGGATGGTTCCCGTGTCCCCAGGGATGGTTTTGGTGTCCCCAGGGATGGTTTTTGTGTCCCTGGGTGGGTTTTGGTGTCCCCAGGGACGCTCTCGGTGTCCCCAGGGATGGTTTTGGTGTCCCTGGGATGGTTCCCGTGTCCCCAGGGACGCTCTCGGTGTCCCCAGGGATGGTTTTGGTGTCCCTGGGTTGGTTTTGGTGTCCCCAGGGATGTTTTTTGTGTCCCCGGGGACGGTTCCCCTGTCCCCAGGGACGCTGTCGGTGTCCCCCCAGAGCTGCCCCCCTCGGGGCGCCGCGCTCTCCGGGACGGGGCGCTGATCCTGTCCCGCCTGGAGCCCAACGACTCCATGGTGGCCCAGTGCGAGGCCAGCAACAGCCACGGGCGGCTCCTGGCCAACGCCTTCGTCTACGTCGTGGGTGGGTACCCCAAACCCCCAAATCCCCAAAATCTGCTCAGTATTCCCCACAAACCCCCCCCAAATCTGCTCACTATTCCGCCCAAAACCCCCAAAATCTGCTCAGTATTCCCCACAAAACCCCCCAAAATCTGCTCAGTATCCCCACAAAACCCCCCCAAATCTGCTCAATATCCCCCCAAATCTGCTCCAAATCCCCCCAAAATCTGCTCAGTATCCCCCCAAAATCTGCTCAGTATTCCCCACAAAACCCCCCCAAATCTGCTCAATCCCCCATAGGACCCCTGGGACCTCCCCAGGGATGGATTTTGGGGTCCTGGGGATGGATTTTGGGATCTCAGGGTGTACATTTGGGACCCCTGGGATGGATTTTGGGGTCCTGGGGATGGATTTTGGACCCTGGAGATGGATTTTGGGGTCCTTGGGATGGATTTTGGACCCCGGGGATGGATTTTGGGACCCCAGGGATGGATTTTGGGACCCCAGAGATGGATTTTTGGGACCCTGGGGATGGATTTTGGGGTTCTGGGGATGGATTTTGGGATCCCAGGGATGGATTTTGGACCCTGGGGATGGATTTGGGGACCCCAGGGATGGATTTTGGGACCTTGGGGATGGATTTTGGGACCCCAGGGATGGATTTTGGGACCCTGGGGATGGATTTTGGGGTTCTGGGGATGGATTTTGGGATCCCAGGGATGGATTTTGGACCCTGGGGATGGATTTGGGGACCGCAGGAATGGATTTGGGGGTCCTGGGGATGGATTTTGAGGTCCTGGGGATGGATTTTGGGGCCCTGGGGATGGATTTTGGGATCTCAGGGTGTACATTTGGGACCCCTGGGATGGATTTTGGGGTCCTGGGGATGGATTTTGGACCCTGGGGATGGATTTTAGGATCCCAGGGATGGATTTTAGGACCCTGGGGATGGATTTTGGGATCCCAGGGATGGATTTTGGACCCTGGGGATGGATTTTGGGATCCCAGGGATGGATTTTGGGGTACTGGGGATGGATTTTGGGGTCCTGGGAATGGATTTTGGGGCCCTGGGGATGGATTTTGGACCCCAGGGATGGATTTTGGGGCCCTGGGGATGGATTTTGGGACCCCAGGGATGGATTTTGGGGTCCTGGGGATGGATTTTGGGACCCTGGGGATGGATTTGGGATCTCAGGGTGTACATTTTGGACCCCTGGGATGGATTTTTGGGTTCTGGGGATGTATTTGGGACCCCAGGGATGGATTTTGGGGTTCTGGGGATGGATTTTGGGACCCCAGGAATGGATTTTAGGGTCCTGGGGGTGGATTTTGGGACCCTGGGGATGGATTTTGGGGTCCCAGGGATGGATTTTGGGACCCCAGGGATGGATTTTGGGGTCCTGGGGGTGGATTTTGGACCCTCAGGGATGGATTTTGGGACCCTGGGGATGGATTTTGGGATCTCAGGGTGTACATTTGGGACCCCTGGGATGGATTTTGGGGATCTGGGGATGGATTTTGGGGTCCTGGGGATGGATTTTGGGGTCCCAGGGATGGATTTTGAGACCCCAGGGATGGATTTTGGGGTCCTGGGGGTGGATTTTGGACCCTCAGGGATGGATTTTGGGACCCCAGGGATGAATTTTGGGATCTCAGGGTGTACATTTGGGACCCCTGGGATGGATTTTGGGGCCCTGGGGATGGATTTTGGGGTCCTGGGGATGGATTTTGGGGTCCTGGGGATGTATTTGGGACCCCAGGGATGGATTTTGGGGTCCTGGGGGTGGATTTTGGGACCCCAGGGATGGATTTTGGGGTTCTGGGGATGGATTTTGGGGTCCTGGGGATGGATTTTGGGACCCCAGGGATGGATTCTGGGGTCCTGGGGATGTATTTGGGACCCCAGGGATGGATTTTGGGGTCCTGGGGGGTCCCTGACCCCCGAGCCCCCCCAGAGCTGCCGGTGCAGATCCTGACGCCGGACTCGGCGCTCTACGCCGTGGTGGAGAACCAAACGGCGTTCCTGCACTGCCGGGCCTTCGGCGCCCCCGCGCCCACCGTGGAGTGGTGAGACCCCCGCCCCAAACCCCCCAGATCTGATCAGTGCCCCCAAATCTGATCAATCGCACCCAAATCTGATCAATCGCACCCAAATCTGATCAGTCCCACCCAAATCTGATCAGTTCCCACCCAAATCTGATCAATCCCCCCCGAAATCTGATCAAATCCACCCAAATCTGATCAAATCCACCCCGAAATCTGATAAAATCCCCCCAAAATCTGATCAATCCCACCCAAATCTGATCAATCCCACCCAAATCTGATCAATCTCCCCCAAATCTGATCAGTGCCCCCCGAAATCTGATCAATCCCCCCTGAAATCTGATCAATCCCACCCAAATCTGATCAGTCCCCCCCAAATCTGATCAGTCCCCCCCGAAATCTGATCAATCCCTGCCGAAATCTGATCAATCTCCCCGAAATCTGATCAGTTCCCACCCAAATCTGATCAATCCCCCCGAAATCTGATCAGTTCCCACCCAAATCTGATCAGTGCACCCAAATCTGATCAATTCCCACCCAAATCTGATCAGTGCCCCCCAAATCTGATCAGTGCCCACCCAAATCTGATCAGTTCCCACCCAAATCTGATCAGTTCCCACCCAAAATCTGATCAAATCCACCCCCAAATCTGATCAGTTCCCCCCAAAATCTGATCTGTCCCCCTGAAATCTGATCAAATCCACCCGAAATCTGATCAATCTCCCCGAAATCTGATCAGTTCCCACCCAAATCTGATCAGTGCCCCCCAAATCTGATCAATCCCCCCTGAAATCTGATCAAATCCACCCCAAATCTGATCAGTGCCCCCCAAATCTGATCAGTGCCCCCAAATCTGATCAAATTCACCCCCAAATCTGATCAGTCCCCCCAAATCTGATCAGTGCCCACCCAAATCTGATCAAATCCCCCAAAATCTGATCAGTTCCCACCCAAATCTTATCAGTTCCCACCCAAATCTGATCAAAACCCACTGAGGACCCCCCAAACCTCCCCAAAACCCACTGAGGACCCCCCAAACCTCCCCAAAACCCACTGAGGACCCCCTGAACCCCCCCAAAACCTGCTGAGGATCCCCCAAAACGTGCTGAGGACCCCCCAAACCTCCCCAAAACCTGCTGAGGACCCCCCAAACCTCCCTAAAACCCGCTGAGGACCCCCTGAACCTCCCCAAAACCTGCTGAGGATCCCCCAAAACCCACTGAGGACCCCCCAAACCTCCCCAAAACCTGCTGAGGATCCCCCAAAACGTGCTGAGGACCCCCCCAAACCTCCCCAAAACCTGCTGAGGATCCCCCAAAACGTGCTGAGGACCCCCCAAACCTCCCCAAACCCCACCAAGGACCCCCCAAACTCCCCCAAAACCTGCTGAGGACCCCCCAAACCTCCCCAAAACCTGCTGAGGATCCCTCAAAACGTGCTGAGGACCCCCCAAACCTCCCCAAAACCTGCTGAGGACCCCCCAAAACGTGCTGAGCACCCCCTGAACCCCCCCCAAAACCCACTGAGGACCCCCCAAACCTCCCCCAAAACCTGATGAGGACCCCCCAAACCTCCCCAAAACACGCTGAGGACCCCCCAAAACCCACTGAGGACCCCCCGAGCCCCCCCAAAACCTGCTGAGGATCCCCCAAAACCCACTGAGGACCCCCCAAACCTCCCCAAAACCTGCTGAGGATCCCCCAAAACGTGCTGAGGACCCCCCAGACCCCCACAAAACCTGCTGAGGACCCACCAAACCCCACTGAGGACCCCCCAAACCCCACTGAGGACCCCCAAACCCCAGCGAGGACCCCCCAAACCCCACCGAGGACCCCCAAACCCCACCGAGGACCCCCAAACCCCCCCAGGCTGAGCCCGGCGCTGGAGCCGGCCCTGCAGGACGATCGCGCCTTCGCCTTCACCAACGGCTCCCTGCGGCTCGGCCCCGCGGCGCGGGGGGACTCGGGGGTCTTCACCTGCCGCGCCCACAACGCCCACAGCAACGCCAGCGTCAGCGCCCGCCTGGACGTCCGAGGTGAGGGACCCCCACCCCAGCCCAGGCAGGGACCCCCAGGACCCCCGAGTACAGACCAGGGACACCCAGTCCAGACCAGGACCCCCGAGTCCAGGCAGGGACCCCCGGGACCTCCCGAGTCCAGACAGGGACCCCCCGAATCCAGCCAGGGACCCCCGGGACCCCCGAGTCCAGACAGAGACCCTTGGGACCCCCTGAGCCTGGTCCAGGACCCCCTGAGTCCAGACAGGGACCCCGACCCCAGTCCAGGCAGGGACCCCCGGGACCCCCTGAGCCCAGGCAGGGACCCCCCGAATCCAGCCAGGGACCCCCGGGACCCCCCGAGTCCAGACAGGGACCCCCGAGCTCAGCCCGGGACCCCCCGAGCCTGGCCAAGGTTTCCTGAGCCTTTCCAAAACCCCACAAATCCCCCCCCAAACCCCTCCAGGACCCCCCCAGACCCCCAAATCACCCCACTCCCCCCTCACCCAGCGGCCACCTGGATTGAGCTGCCCCCCTAAACCCTTCCAGAACCCCACAAAGCCCCCACAAATCCCTTCTAGGACCCCCCAAATTCCCCCAAATCCCTTCTAGGACCCCCCAAACCTTTCCTGGGACCCCCCCAAACCCCCCCAGACCCCCAAATCACCCCGCTCCCCCCTCACCCAGCGGCCACCTGGATCGAGCTGCCCCCCTAAACCCTTCCAGAAAGCCACAAATCCCCCCCAAACCCCTTCAGGACCCCCCAAACCCCTCCAGGACCCCCCCAGACCCCTCCAGGACGCCCCCAGACCCCTCCAGGACGCCCCCAGACCCCTCCAGGACCCCCCAAACCCCTCCAGGACCCCCCCAACGCCCCCAGACCCCTCCAGGACCCCCCAAACCCTTCCAGGACGCCCCCAGACCCCTCCAGGACCCCCCCAAACCCCTCCAGGACGCCCCCAGACCCCTCCAGGACCCCCCCAAACCCCTCCAGGACGCCCCCAGACCCCTCCAGGACCCCCCCAAACCCCTCCAGGATGCCCCCAGACCCCCAAATCACCCCGTTGTCCCCCCGCAGCGGCCACCCGGATCAAAGTGCCCCCCCAGAACCTTCCAGAACCCCACAAATCCCCCCCAAACCCCTCCAGGACCCCTCCAGGACCCCCCCAAACCCCTCCAGGATGCCCCCAGACCCCCAAATCACCCCGCTCCCCCCTCACCCAGCGGCCACCCGGATTGAGCTGCCCCCCTAAACCCTTCCAGAACCCCACAAATCCCCCCGAAACCCCTCCAGGACGCCCCCAAACCCCTCCAGGACCCCTCCAAACCCCTCCAGGACGCCCCCAAACCCCTCCAGGACGCCCCCAGACCCCCAAATCACCCCGTTGTCCCCCCCCCCCCCAGCGGCCACCCGGATCGAGGTGCCCCCCCAGAGCGTGACGGCCAAGAAGGGCGAGACCGTGACCTTCACCTGCCGGGCCACCTTCGACCCCGGCCTGGAGCCCCGCGGGGTCCTGTGGCTGCGGGACGGGACCCCCGTGCTGGAGAGCCCCGACAGCGACAAGTGAGGGGGGCCGGGGGGGTTTGGGGGTCCCAGGATGGGTTTGGGGGGGATTTGGGGGTCCCAGGATGGGTTTGGGGGGGATTTGGGGGGTCCCAGAATGGGTTTGTGGGGGGATTTGGGGGGTCCAGAATGGGTTTGGGGGGGATTTGGGGTTCCCAGGCAGAATTGGGGTTTTTAGGGGTGTCCCTGTCAGGATTTGGGGGTTTTTTGGGGGTCCCCATGCAGGGCTCAGGTTTTGGGGGTCCCCAGGCAGGGCTCAGGTTTCGGGGGAGGTTCCCAGGCAGGATTTGGGTTTTAGGGGTGTCCCTGTCAGGATTTGGGGGTTTTTGGGGGTCCCCATGCAGGGCTCAGGTTTGGGGTTCCCAGGCAGAATTTGGGGTCCCCAGGCAGGATTTGGGGGTTCCCAGGCAGAATTTGGGGTTTTTGGGGTCCCAGGCAGGGCTCAGGTTTCGGGGTCCCCAGGCAGAATTTGGGGTCCCAGGCAGAATTTGGGGGTCCCCAGGCAGGGCTCAGGTTTTGGGGGAGGTTCCCAGGCAGAATTTGGGGTTCCCAGACAGAATTTGGGGTTTGGGGTCCCCAGTCAGGGCTCAGGTTTCGGGGTCCCCAGGCAGGATTTGGGGTCCCCAGGCAGGGCTCAGGTTTTCGGGGTTCCCAGGCAGAATTTGGGTTTTTGGGGGTGTCCCTGTCAGGATTTGGGGTTTTTTGGGGGTCCCCAGTCAGGGCTCACGTTTCGGGGTCCCCCCCCAGGTTCTCGCTGGCCGGGGACGCGCTGACCGTGGCCGGGGTGGACTATGGGGACCAGGGCCGGTTCCGCTGCCGCGCCTGGACCCGCCTGGACAGCGCCGAGGCCGAGGCCGAGCTCCGCGTCGTGGGTGAGCCCCAAACCCGGGGGGACCCCGAAATTCCTGAGGGAACCCGAAACACCGAGGGGATCCCAAAATCCACCAGGGGACCCCAAATCCCCGAGGGGACCCCAAAATCCACCTGGGGATCCCAAATCCCCGAGGGGATCCCAAAATCCACCAGGGGACCCCGAAACCCCGAGGGGACCCTGAAACCCCGAGGGGACCCCGAAACCCCGAGGGGACCCCGAAATCCCCGAGGGGACCCCGAAATCCACCAGGGGACACTGAAATCCACGAGGGAATCCCCAAAAAACACGAGTTTTCCCCATAATTTCCCCCATTAATTCCCCATTTCCCCCCCAATTTTCCCCTCAATTTTTCCCCAATTTTCCCCATAATTTCCCCCATTAATTCCCCATTTTCCCCCCAATTTTTCCCCAATTTTTCCCCAAATTTTCCCCAATTTTCCCCATAATTTCCCCCCAATTTCCCCCCAAATTCTCCCATAATTTCCCCCCAATTCCCCCATTAATTCCCCAATTTCCCCCATAATTTCCCCCATTAATTCCCCATTTTCCCCCCAATTTCCCCCCAATTTTCCCCCCCAATTTCCCCCATAATTTCCCCCATTAATTCCCCATTTTCCCCCAATTTCCCCACAATTTTCCCCAATTTTTCCCCAATTTCCCCCATAATTTCCCCCATTAATTCCCCAATTTCCCCCGTAATTTCCCCATTAATTCCCCAATTCCCCCATAATTTCCCCCATTAATTCCCCAATCCCCTTTCCCCGCCAGGCCGGCCGGGCCCGGTGCGGGACCTGCAGGTGCTCGAGGTGGGCGAGCGGCAGGTGCGGCTCAGCTGGACCCCGGGAGAGGAGCACAACAGCCCCGTGGAGAGTGAGGGGCCAGGATTGGGGGTCTGGGGGTCTGGGAGGGGGTTTGGGGGGTCTGGGAGGGGATTTGGGGGGTTTTGGGTGCCCGAGGATTGGGGATCTGGGGATTTTGGGGGGTCTGGGAGGGGGTTTGAGGGGTCTGGGAGGGTCTGGGAGGGGGTTTGGGGGGTTCTGGGGGGTCTGGGAGGGGATTTGGGGGGTCTGGGAGGGAATTTGGGGGATTTTGGGGAGTTTGGGAGGGGGTTTGGAGGATTTGGGGGGTCTGGGAGGGGATTTGGGGGGTCCGGGAGGGGGTTTGGGGGGTCCGGGAGGGGGTTTGGGGGGTCTGGGAGGGGGTCTGGGGGGTCTGGGAGGGGGTTTGGGGGGTCTGGGGGGTCTGGGAGGGGATTTGGGGGGTTTGGGGAGGTTCTGGGGGGGTCTGGGAGGGGATTTGGGGGATTTTGGGGGGTCTGGGAGGGGGTTTGGGGAAATTTGGGGGGTCTGGGAGGGGATTTGGGGAAATTTGGGGGGTCTGGGAGGGGGTTTGGGGGGTTTGGGAAGGAATATGGGGGATTTTGGGGGGTCTGGGAGGGGGTTTGGGGAATTTTGGGGGGTCTGGAGGGGGAATTTGGGAGTCTGGGAGGGGGTTTGGGGGATTTTGGGGGGTCTGGGAGGGGGTTTGGGGAGGTTCTGGGAGGGGGTTTGGGGGGTCTGGGAGGGGGTTTGGGGAGGTTCTGGGAGGGGGTTTGGGGGGTCTGGGAGGGGGTTTGGGGAGGTTCTGGGAGGGGGTTTGGGGGGTCTGGGAGGGGGTTTGGGGGCTTTGGGGGGTCTGGGAGGGGATTTGGGGAAATTTGGGGAGGTTTTGGGGCATTTGGAGGGGGAATTTGGGGGGTCTGGGAGGGGGTTTGGGGAAATTTGGGGGGTTTGGGGAGGTTCTGGGAGGGGGTTTGGGGGGTCTGGGAGGGAATTTGGGAGATTTTGGGGGGTCTGGGAGGGGGTTTGGGGGATTTGGGGAGGTTTTGGGGCATTTGGAGGGGGAGTTTGGGGGGTCTGGAGTGGGAATTTGAGGAGTCTGGAGTGGGAGTTTGGGGAATTTGGGGGGTCTGGGAGGGGGCTTGGGGGGTTTGGGGGGTCTGGGAGGGGGTCTGGGGGGTCTGGGAGGGGATTTGGGGGGTCTGGGAAGGAATTTGGGGAATTTTGGGGTGTCTGGAAGGGAATTTGGGGGATTTTGGGATTTGGGGGCATTTCAGGCTTTGGGAATTTGGGATTTTTGGGGATTTTTGGATCTTTATGGACATTTATGGATATTTTTGCCTATTTTGCCTATTTGCCTATTTTGGCTATTTTTCACCACTTTTTAACCCTTTCCCGGAAGGCATTTCTTATGGATATTTTTGGCTATTTTTCACCCGTTTTTAACCCTTTCCCGCCCGCAGAGTTCGTGGTGGAGCAGGAGGAGGGCATTTTTGGGGGATTTTGGCCATTTTTGTCTATTTTCACCCCGTTTTTAACCCTTTTCTCCCCGCAGAGTTCGTGGTGGAGCAGGAGGAGGGCATTTTTTGGGGATTTATGGATATTTATGGATATTTATGTATATTTTTCACCCGTTTTTAACCCTTTCCTGCCCGCAGAGTTCGTGGTGGAGCAGGAGGAGGGCATTTTTGGGGGATTTATGGATATTTATGGACATTTATGGATATTTTTGGCCATTTTTGTCTATTTTTCACCCGTTTTTAACCCTTTTCTCCCCGCAGAGTTCGTGGTGGAGCAGGAGGAGGGCATTTTTGGGGGATTTATGGCTATTTTGGCCATTTTTCACCCATTTTTAACCCCTTTCTCCCCGCAGAGTTCGTGGTGGAGCAGGAGGAGGGCATTTTTTGGGGATTTTGGCCATTTTTGTCTATTTTTCACCCGTTTTTAACCCCTTTCTCCCCGCATAGTTCGTGGTGGAGCAGGAGGAGGGCATTTTTGGGGGATTTTTGGATATTTATGGCTATTTTTGGCTATTTTTAACCCGTTTTTAACCCGTTTTTCACCCGTTTTTAACCCTTTTCTCCCCGCAGAGTTCGTGGTGGAGCAGGAGGAGGGCATTTTTGGGGGATTTACGGATATTTATGGATATTTATGGCTATTTTTCACCCCTTTTTAACCCTTTTCTCCCCGCAGAGTTCGTGGTGGAGCAGGAGGAGGGCATCTTCTCGCCGGGCCGGTTCGTGGAGCTGCTGACGGTGCCGGGGGCGCGGCCGTGGGCGCTGTTGGCGCTGTCCCCGTACGGGCGGTACCGGTTCCGTGTCCTGGCGGTCAACGGCTTCGGGCGCGGCGAGCCCAGCGCGCCCAGCGCCGCCGTCAGCACCGCCCCGGCCGGTGAGTGATGCTGAAAATATAATAATAAAAAAAATATAATAATAAAAAAATCATGTTAAATAGCAAAAAAATCCTGTTAAATTAAAAAAAAAAATCCTGTTAAATACTAAAAAAATCCTGTTAAATTAAAAAAAAAATCCCGTGAAATACAAAAAATCCTGGTAAATTAAAAAAAAAAAATCGCATTAAAATTAAAAAAAAAATCACGGTAAAATAATAAAAAAAAATCATGTTAAAATAATAAAAAAAAATCACGTTAAAGAGCAAAAAAATCCTGTTAAATTAAAAAAAATCGTGTTAAATAGCAAAAAAATCCTGTTAAATTAAAAAAAAAATCCTGTTAAATAAAAAAAATCCTGGTAAATTAAAAAAAAAAATCACGGTAAAATAATAAAAAAAAATCACATTAAATAGCAAAAAAATCCTGTTAAATTAAAAAAAAAATCCTGTTAAATACTAAAAAAATCCTGTTAAATTTTAAAAAAATCGTGTTAAATAGCAAAAAAATCCCATTAAATACCAAAAAATCCTGTTAAATTAAAAAAAAAATCCTGTTAAATACAAAAAAAAATCCTGTTAAATTAAAAAAAAAAATCCCATTAAATACAAGAAAAAAATCCCGTTAAATTAAAAAACAAAAATCCTATTAGATAGCAAAAAAAAATTCCTGTTAAATTAAAAAAAAATCCCATTAAGTAAAAAAAAAATCCTGTTAAATACCAAAAAAAATCCCTTTAAATACAAAAAAAAAAATCCTCTTAAATTTAAAAAATCCCATTAAATACCGAAAAATCCCATTAAATATCCCAAAATCCCGGCTGGTGAGCGAGCCCAGAACACCCGAAATACCAAAAATTAACCCCAAAATATCCTAAATAACCCAAAAATGGTTTTTTGGGGTGTCCCTGGGGATTTTGGGGGGGATCCCAGGGGATTTTTTTGGGGGGTCCCGGGGGATTTTTGGGGTCCCTGAGCCTTTCCCCCACAGCCCCCGAGCGGTACCCGATGGGGGTGAAGGGGGAGGGGAACGAGACCAACAACCTGGTGATCACCTGGCAGGTACGGGGGTCTTGGGGGGGTCCTGGGGGGGTTTTGGGGAGTCCTGGGGGGATTTTGGGGGGTCCTGGGGGGATTTTGGGGGGTCCTGGGGGGTTTTGGGGGGTCCTGGGGGGATTTTGGGGGGTCCTGGGGGGATTTTGGGGGGAATTTGGGGGGTCCTGGGGGGATTCTGGGGGGTCCTGGGGGGATTTGGGGGGTCCTGGGGGGGTTTTGGGGGGTCCTGGGGGGATTAGGGGGGTCCTGGGGGTGTTTTGGGGAGATTTTGGAGGGTCTTGGGGGTGTTTTGGGGAGCCTTGGGGGGATTTTGGGGAGTCCTGGGGGGATTCTGGGGAGTCCTGGGGGGATTTTGGGGGTCCTGGAAGGATTTGGGGGGTCCTGGAAGGATTTGGGGGGGCTTGGGGTGCATTTGGGGGTGCTTGGAGCAGGTTTGGGGGGTCCTGAGTGAGTTTTGGGGGGTCCTGGAGGGGGTTTGAGGGGATTTGGGGTTCCCAGGGGAGTTCAGGGGGTCTGGGAGGGGTTTTGGGGGGTCTGGGATTGGACTGGATTTAGGGTTCGGGGCTGGATTTGGGGTGGATTTTTGGGGTTCAGGCTGATTTTTGGGGGTCTCTCCCCCCCCCAGCCGCTGCCCCCCGGGGACTGGAACGCCCCCCAGCTCCGGTACCGGGTGCAGTGGCGGCCGCTGGAGCCGGGCCGGGGCCGCTGGGCCGAGGCCACGGTCGGGGGTCCCCCCCTGGTGGTCCGGGACACCCCAACTTTCAGCCCCTTCGAGATCCGGGTCCAGGCGCTCAACGAGGCCGGGAAGGGCCCCGAGCCCCCCGTGGTCATCGGCTACTCCGGGGAGGACCGTGAGTGGGGGGCACCCCAAAAATCCCGGGGGCAGAAAGGGGGGACCCCACATTGGGGGTGGTGGGAGAGCCCAAATCTGGGGGAGAAATGGGAGAGAAATGGGGGAAATCCCAAATTTGGGGGGGCTGAGAGACCCCAAATCCGGGCTGATGGGAGAGCCCAAATTGGGGGAGGTGGGAGACCCCAAATCTGGGGGATTTGGGAGAGAAAAAGGGGTCAGACCCCAAATTTGGGGTGGTGGGGGACCCCAAATCTGGGGGAGAAATGGGGGAAATCCCAAATTTGGGGGTGCTGAGAGACCCCAAATCCGGGCTGATGGGAGAGCCCAAATTGGGGGTGGTGGGAGACCCCAAATCTGGGGGAGAAATGGGGGAAATCCCAAATTTGGGGGTACTGAGAGACCCCAAATCTTGGGGGTTTGGGAGAGAAAAAGGGGTCAGACCCCAAATTTGGGGTGGTGGGGGGAATCCCAAATTTGGGAGTGCTGAGAGACCCCAATTCTGGGAGATTTGGGGCAGAAAAAAGGGGGAGACCTCAAATTTGGGGTGGTGGGGGAGAAAAAGGGGGAAATCCCAAATTTGGGGTGCTGGGAGAGCCCAAGGTAGAAAGGACCCCAAATTTGGGAATTCCAGGAGATCCAAAGTTGGGGGGGGACCCCAAATCTGGTCTTGACCCCAAACCCGGGGCTGCATTTTGGGGTCGAATCCCCCTTTTGTGGGGGGTCACAGCGCCCCGATTTCGGGGGGGTTTTGAGGGGGGGTCCCTCTCTTTGGGGGGGCCCTGAGCCACCCCCCGACCCCCCCAGTGCCGCTGGTGTACCCCGAAAATGTGGGGGTGGAGATCCTGAACAGCAGCAGCGTCCGCGTCTCCTGGAGCCTGAGCGGGGCCGAGCGGGACCTGCGGGGCCGCCTGCGGGGCTACCGGGTGAGGCCCCAAAACCCCCAAAATCCCCCAAAATCCACCCAAAATCCCCCAAAATTCACCAAAATTCCAGCGGGAATCCCCCAAATCCCAGCGGGAATCCCCGAAATTCCATCAGGAATCCCCAAAATCCCCCAAAATCCACCAAAATACCCCAAAATCCACCAAAATCCACCAAAATCCCCCAAAATTCCAGCGGGAATCCCCAAAATCCCAGCGGGAATCCCCCAAAATCCCCCAAAATCCACCAAAATCCCCCAAAATCCACCAAAATCCACCAAAATCCACCAAAATCCACCAAAATTCCACCAAAATTCCACCAAATTCCACCAAAATCCACCAAAATTCCAGCGGGAATCCCCAAAATCCCCCAAAATCCACCAAGATCCCCCAAAATCCACCAAAATTCCAGCGGGAATCCCCGAAACCCCCCAAAATCCACCAAAATCCACCAAAATCCCCCAAAATCCACCAAAATTCCATCAGGAATCCCCAAAATCCCCCAAAATCCACCAAAATCCCCCAAAATTCCAGCGGGAATCCCCGAAATCCCAGCGGGAATCCCCGAAATCCTGCAGGGAAACCGCAGATCCCATCGGGAACTCCCCAAATCCCATCAGGAATCCCCAAAATCCCAGCGGGAATCCCCGAAATCCCAGTGGGAAAACCCCAAAATCCTGCAGGGAAACCCAAAATCCTGAAGGGAAACCATAAAACCCCACCTGGAATTCCCAAAATCCTGCAGGGAAACCACAAATCCTGCTCGGAATTCCCAAAATCCTACAGGGAAAGCCCAAAATCCCAACGGGAATTCCCAAAATCCCGAGTTTTGGGGCAGTTCTGGGGGGGGTTTGGGCAGTTTTTTGGGTGGGTTTTTGGGAGGTTTTGGGGGTGCTGACCCCCCTCCTTTTTGCAGATTCTGTACTGGCACGAGGGGAGTTCTGGGGGGTTTTGGGGCATTTTTTGGGTGGGTTTTGGGGCATTTTTTGGGTGGACTTTGGGGCATTTTTGGTGGGGTTTTTTTGGGCAGTTCTGGGGGATTTTGGGGCATTTTTTGGGTGGGTTTTGGGGCATTTTTGGTGGGGTTTTTTTGGGCAGTTCTGGGGGATTTTGGGGCATTTTTTGGGTGGGTTTTAGGGCTATTTTGGGGGTGCTGACCCCCCTCCTTTTTGCAGATTCTGTACTGGCGTGAGGGGTGGGTGGGGGAGCGCTCCCGGCGCCAGAGCCCCCCCCCCCGGGACCCCCGAGCCCCCTCCCCAGCCGGGGGTGCTGACGGTGCTGGGCGAGGCCAGCGGGGTGGTTTTGGGGGGGCTGCACCCCTGGAGCCGCTACCGGCTGCAGGTTTTGGTGTTCAACGGGCGGGGGGCCGGACCCCCCAGCGCCGAGATCCACTTCCACACCCCCGAGGGAGGTGAGACCCCCAAAAGGGAGAGTGGCACCCCAAAAATGGGGACTGGGACCCCAAAAGGGGGGTTGGGACCCCAAAAGGGGAGTTGGGACCCCCAAAAGGGGAGTTGGGACCCCAAAAGGGGGGTTGGGACCCCGAAAAGGGGGGCTGGGATCTCAAAAATGGGAATTAGGGCTCCAAAAATGGGAATTCAGACCCCAAAAAGGGGAATTGGGACCCCAAAAAGGGGAGTTGGGACCTCGAAAAGGGGAGTTGGGACCCCGAAAAGGGGGGTTGGGACCCCAAAAAGGGGGATTGGGACCCCCAAAAGGGGAATTGGGACCCCAAAAAGGGGGGTTGGGACCCCAAAAAGGGGGGTTGGGACCCCGAAAAGGGGAGTTGGGACCCCAAAAGGGGGGTTGGGACCCCAAAAGGGGGGTTGGGATCTCAAAAATGGGAACTGGGACCCCGAAAAGGGGAGTTGGGACCCCGGAAAGGGGAGTTGGGACCCCAAAAAGGGGGGTTGGGACCCCGAAAAGGGGGGTTGGGACCCCCAAAAGGGGGGTTGGGACCCCCGAAAAGGGGAGTTGGGACCCCGAAAAGGGGAGTTGGGACCCTGAAAAGGGGAATCGGGACCCTGAAAAGGGGAGTTGGGACCCCGAAAAGGGGAGTTGGGACCCTGGAAAGGGGAGTTGGGACCCCAAAAGGGGGGTTGGGATCTCAAAAATGGGAATTGGGACCCCAAAAATGGGAATTCAGACCCCAAAAAGGGGAACTGGGACCCCAAAAAGGGGGATTGGGACCCCGAAAAGGGAGTTGGGACCCCGAAAAGGGAAATTGGGACCCCGGAAAGGGGGGTTGGGACCCCGGAAAGGGGGGTTGGGACCCAAAAAGGGGGGTTGGGACCCCGAAAAGGGGGATTGGGACCCAGAAAAGGGGAATTAGGGCCCCAAAAATGGGAATTGGGACCCCAGAAATGGGAGTTGGGATCTCAGAAATGGGAATTGGGACCCCGAAAAGAGGAACTGGGACCCCGAAAAGGGGAGTTGGGACCTCGGAAAGGGGAATTAGGGCCCCAAAAATGGGAGTTGGGACCCCACAAAAGGGAATTGGGACCCCGAAAAGGGGGGTTGGGATTTCAAAAATGGGAATTGGGACCCCGAAAAGGGATTTTGGGGATATTTCGGGGGGTTTCGGGGTCCCTGACCCGAGCCCCCCAGTGCCAATTTCGGGGGGGTATTTTTGGGGGGTATTTTTGGGATATTTCGGGGGGGTTTGGGGGGTATTTTGGGGGGTATTTTGGGGATATTTCGGGGGGGTTTGGGGGGTATTTTGGGGGGTATTTTGGGGATATTTCGGGGGGGTTTTGGGAGGGTTTTTGGGGGTATTTTGGGGATATTTCGGGGGGTTTCGGGGTCCTGACCCCAGCCCCCCAGTGCCCGGCCCCCCCGAGGAGCTGCGTCTGGAGCGTTTCGGGGACTCCGCGCTGGGCCTGGAGTGGCGGCGGCCGCGGCGCCCCAACGGCGTCATCACCGGCTACGTGCTCCAGTACCGGCTGCGTGCGTACTGGGAGCACTGGGAGGGATGGAAGGGACACTGGGGGCACTGGGAGCACTGGGAGCACTGGGAGGGGCGGAGGGGGGGAACTGGGGGCACTGGGAGAGGCGGGGGGGGCACTGGGGGCACTGGGAGGGGATTGGGGGGCACTGGGAGGGATAGAAAGGGCACTGGGAGGGATGGGAGGGGGCACTGGGAGCACTGGGATGGGATTGGGGGGCACTGGGAACACTGGGAGGGATGGGAGGGGCACTGGGAGCTATTCCGGGTGGGTTTTTTAGGGTAATTCGGGGCTGTTTTGGGCTATTCAAGGTGGGATTTTTAGGGTAATTCGGGGCTGTTTTGGGCTATTCAAGGTGGGATTTTTGGGGTAATTCGGGGCTGTTTCAGGGTATTCCAGGTGGGTTTTTGGGATTAATTTGGGGCTGTTTTGGCCATTCTGGGCTGTTTTTTCTTATGTTAATTTGGGGTTCTTTGGGCTATTCCGTGTGGGTTTTTTAGGGTAATTCAAGGATGGTTTGGGCCCTTCGAGATGGATTTTTTGGGATTTATTTGGGGCTATTCTGGGTGGGTTTTTTAGGGTAATTCGGGGCTGTTTGGGGCCATTCCGGGCGGGATTTTAAAGTTAATTTGGGGCTGTTTGGGGCCATTCCGGGCGGGATTTTAAAGTTAATTTGGGGCTGTTTGGGGCCATTCCAGGCGGGATTTTAAAGTAAATTTGGGGCTGTTTGGGGCCTTTCCGGGCGGGATTTTAAAGTTAATTTGGGGCTGTTTGGGGCCATTCCGGGCTGGTTTTTCTTATGTTAATTTGGGGTTCTTTGGGCTATTCTGGGTGGGTTTTTTAGGGTAATTCAGGGCTGGTTTGGGCTATTCGAGATGGGTTTGTGGGATTTATTTGGGGCTATTCTGGGTGGGTTTTTCAGGGTAATCCGGGGCTGTTTGGGGCCATTCCGGGCTGGTTTTTCTTATGTTAATTTGGGGTTCTTTGGGCTTTTCTGGGTGGGTTTTTTAGGGTAATTCAGGACTGGTTTGGGCTATTTGAGATGGGTTTTTGGGATTTATTTGGGGCTATTCTGGGTGGGTTTTTTAGGGTAATTCAGGGCTGGTTTGGGCTATTCGAGATGGGTTTTTGGGATTTATTTGGGGCTGTTTGGGGCCATTCCGGGCGGGATTTTAAAGTTAATTTGGGGCTGTTTGGGGCTGTTCCGGGCTGGTTTTTTTTGGGGTTCCCTGGCACGGCTGCCCCTTGCCCCACAGAGAACCAGAGCGAGGAGGGGTTCCCGCTGGAGATCTCCTTCCCCGCCGGGACCCTGAACACGACCCTGACCCGGCTGGAGCCGCGGGGCCGGTACCGGTTGGAGCTCCGCGCCCGCACCCGGCACGGCCCCGGCGCGGCCCTGGTGCGCCTGGCCAGCCTCGCCCCCGAGCCCGGTGAGCACCCCGAAACCCGGCCAAAATCCGCGGGGGGACCCCAAAAAACCGGCCCAAAAACTGTGAGGGGAGCCCAGAAACTGAGCCCAAAAACCTGCCCCAAAATCGCGGGGGGACCCCAGAAACTGAGCCTGAAAACCGACCCAAAAACCGCGGGGGGACCCCAAAAAACCGGCCCCAAAAACTGTGAGGGGAGCCCAGAAACTGAGCCTGAAAACCGACCCAAAATCACGGGGGGAATCCCAAAAAACCGGCCTCAAAAACTGGGCAGGGAGCCCAGAAACTGAGCCTGAAACCCGGCCAAAAACCGCGGGGGGACCCCAAAAAACCGGCCTCAAAAACCGGGCAGGGAGCCCAGAAACTGAGCCCAAAAACCGACCCAAAATCGCGGGGGGACCCCAAAAAAACGGCCCCAAAAACTGGGGAGGGAGCCCAGAAACTGAGCCCGAAAACCCACCCAAAAACCGTGGGGGGGACCCCAAAAAAACGGCCCCAAAAACTGGGGAGGGAGCCCAGAAACTGAGCCCGAAAACCTGCCCCAAAATCGTGGGGGGACCCCAAAAAACCGGCCTCAGAAACTGGGGAGGGAGCCCAGAAACTGAGCCTGAAAACCCACCAAAAACCACGGGGGAACCCCAAAAAAACGGCCTCAAAAACTGTGAGGGGAGCCCAAAAACTGAGCCTGAAAACCCACCCAAAAACCGCGGGGGGACCCCAAAAAAACGGCCCAAAAACTGGGGAGGGAGCCCAGAAACTGAGTGGGAAAACCCACCCAAAAACCGCGGGGGGACCTCAGAAAAACAGCCTCAAAAACTGGGGAGGGAGCCCAGAAACTGAGCCCGAAAATCTGCCCCAAAATCGCAGGGGGACCCCAAAAAACCGGCCTCAAAAACTGGGGAGGGAGCCCAGAAACTGAGCCCGAAAATCTGCCCCAAAATCGCAGGGGGACCCCAAAAAACCGGCCCAAAAACTGGGGAGGGAGCCCAGAAACTGAGCCCGAAAATCTGCCCCAAAATCGTGGGGGGACCCCAAAAAACCGGCCTCAAAAACTGGGGAGGGAGCCCAAAAACTGAGTGGGAAAACCCACCCAAAATCGCGGGGGGACCCCAAAAAACCGGCCTCAAAAACTGGGCAGGGAGCCCAGAAACTGAGCCTGAAAACCGACCCAAAATCGTGGGGGGATCCCCAAAAAACGGCCTCAAAAACTGGGGAGGGAGCCCAGAAACTGAGTGGGAAAACCCACCCAAAAACCGCGGGGGGACCCCAAAAAACCGGCCTCAAAAACTGTGAGGGGAGCCCAGAAACTGAGCCCAAAAACCGACCCAAAATCGCGGGGGGGCCCCAAAAAACCGGCCTCAAAAACTGTGAGGGGACCCCAGAAACTGAGCCCGAAAACTGACCCAAACCCGCGGGGGGGACCCCAAAAAACCGGCCTCAAAAACTGGGGAGGGAGCCCAAAAACTGAGCCTGAAAACCGACCCAAAAACCGCGGGGGGACCCCAAAAAACCGGCCTAAAAAACTGTGAGGGGAGCCCAGAAACTGAGTCGGAAAACCCACCCAAAAACCGTGGGGGGGACCTCAGAAAAACAGCCTCAAAAACCAAAAAAAACCGGCCTCAAAAACTGTGAGGGGACCCCAGAAACTGAGCCCAAAAACCTGCCCCAAAATCGCGGGGGGACCCCAAAAAACCGGCCCAAAAACTGGGCAGGGAGCCCAGAAACTGAGCCTGAAAACCGACCCAAAAACCGCGGGGGGGACCCCAAAAAAACGGCCTCAAAACCGGCCCCAAAAGCCATGGAGAAACCCCAAAAATTGAGCCCAAAATGCGCAGGGGGACCCCAAGAAAGAAGCCCCAAAACCGGCCCCAAAAACCACGGGGGGGTCCCAAAACTGAGCCCAAAAACCGTGGGGGGACCCCAAAAAACTGAGCCTGAAAACCGACCCAAAAACTGCAGGGGGACCCCAAAACCGGCCCCAAAAACCGCGAGGGAGGCTCCAAAAAAAAACCCCAAAAACCGCGGAGGGGACCCCAAAAAAAGGAGCCCAAAGACCGCAGGGGACACCCCAAAAATTGCCCCAAAAACCGCGGGGACACCCCAAAACCTGCCTGAAAGTGGGGGGGATCTGGAATTGTGGGGGGGGGGGAGGGCTGAAATCACCTCGGGGACCCCAAAATTAGCGGGGGAGGATCCCGAAATAGGGGGAGACCCCAAAACTGCCGGGGAGACCCCAAAATTACCATGGGGAGGGGTCTGGAAATAACGGGGTGGGGGGAGGGAGGGAGGGGACACCTTGAGACCCCCAAAATGCCGAGGTTGGGGGGGTCCCCAGGGGTGGGGGAGGGGTTTTTGGGGTGGGGGATTTGGGGTGACCCCCCCGTGCCCCCCAGTGCTGCCGGTGCTGGGCACGGTGGGCTTCGGGGAGGTGGGCGAGGATTTCACGGAGCTGCGCTGGACCCTGGCCCAGCCCCAGGCCAACATCGAGTTCGAGGTGGAGTACATGAGCAAAACCAGTAAGGGACTGGGAGCAACTGGGAGGGACTGGGAGGGGATTTGTGGGTGACTGGGAGGGGATTTGGGGACACTGGGAGGGACTGGGAGGTGATTTGGGGACACTGGGAGGGGATTTGGGGGTGACTGGGAGGGGATTTGGAGACACTGGGAGGGGATTTTGGGACACTGGGAGGGACTGGGAGGGGATTTGGGGGTGACTGGGAGGAGATTTGGGGATATTGGGGGGGACTGGGAGGGGATTTGGGGACACTGGGAGGGATTTGGGGACACTGGGAGGGACTGGGAGGGGATTTGGGGTGACTGGGATGAACTGGGAGGGGATTGAGGGACACTGGGAGGGACTGGGAGAGACTGGGAGGGGATTTGGGGGCACTGGGAGGGACTGGGAGGGGATTTGGGGCCACTGGGAGGGGATTGGGGGGGATTTGGGGACACTGGGAGGGACTGGAAGAGACTGGGAGGGGATTTGGGGACTCTGGGAGGGGATTGGGGGTGACTGGGAGAGACTGGGAGGGGATTTCTGGTGACTGGGAGGGAATTGAGGGACACTGGGAGGGACTGGGAGGGGATTTGGGGGCGCTGGGAGGAGATTTTGGGGGGGACTGGGAGGGGATTTTGGGGATTTTGGGACCAAGCGGTGGCGGGAAATAAAAGGGGTTCGGGCTGTGGCGATCTCGAGGGGATTTGAGGAGATTTTGGGGGGTTTTGGGGGTTTTTGGTGGGGTTTGGGGGATTCAGGGGGGGTGTTGGGGGGATTTGGGGGGTTTTGGTGGGGTTTTGGGGGATTTTGGTGGGTTTGGGGGATTTTGGGGGATTTCAGGGGGGGGCGTTGGGTTGATTTGGGGGGTTTTGGTGGGATTTTGGTGGGATTTTGGTGGGGTTTTGGGGGATTTGGGGGGATTTTTGATGGGGTTTTGGGGGTTTTTGGTGGGTTTGGGGGGATTTTTGGTGGGGTTTTGGGGGATTTGAGGGGTTTTTTGTGGGGTTTTGGGGGTTTTTGGTGGGGATTTGGGGGATTTGGGGGAATTTTTGGTGGGGTTTTGGGGGATTTGGTGGGGTTTTGGTGGGGTTTTGGGGGATTTGGGGAGATTTTTGTGGGGTTTTGGTGGATTTGGGGGTTTTTGGTGGGGTTTTGGGGGATTTGGGGGGTTTGGGAGTTTTTGGGGGTTCTGGGGGGGTTCTGGGGGTCTCCCCGCCCCCCACGACCCCCACCCCCCGCAGCGGAGGAGCCCTGGCGCTCCTCGGGCCGCGCCAACTCCTCCCTGGGCCGGTACCGCCTCGGGGACCTCCGGCCCGGCACCTCCTACCGGGTCCAGTTCGTGGGGCGGAACCACAGCGGGGAGCGCGTGGCGTTCTGGGAGAGCGAGGTGCACACCAACGGCACCAGTGAGCCCAAAAATCACCCCAAAAACCCCCAAAATCACCCCAAAATCACCCCAAAATTACCCTGAAATCACCACAAAATCATCACAAAAATCCCCCCCAAAAACCCCCAAAATCACCCCAAAATTACCCCAAATCCATCCCCGGGGAGCGCGTGGTGTTCTGGGAGAGCGAGGTGCACACCAACGGCACCAGTGAGCCCCAAAATCACCCCAAATCACCCCAAAATCACCCCAAAATTACCCTGAAATCACCACAAAATCATCTCACAAA